CAGTGGTTCCAACCCCTAGACAATTACCTGATTACTTCCGGCAAAGTAGCACGTCTTACTTTCGATGAACCCAACTCCTAGCCAGTTCCGGTTACCTAGTCGGCTTCAAGCAGCTTCAGGGTCAATGATAACCTCGATTTCGAAACACGGCGAGACACCAACATTTTTCTTTGCAAAAATAAGTTGTTTTTTTTTATAAAAAGAAGAAAATTTGAATAATATAGTAATTGGTCACCTCTGGTTTACCAAAATCGTAAATAACAAGATGGGCCACTCAGCCAAAAAAGTCCGCCTGAAGTCCGCTCTTTGCTTCAGATGGCGCTACAGTCTGTTTTGAAGCTCTCTTTCGTTTCTCCAGAAGAAGAATAGGAATAGCACCTCCTTGCGTACCCAGATCGACTGCTGTTCATCAGCTGTTCGGGTTTCTTCAGTGCGGAGTTTTAGGTTTTTAAAAATTTTTAATGACATCTCGCCTCTCATTCTAAAGTCAAATTAAACGAAGAAAATAGTCGCCTATCGGAAGAGGTTTTATGTCAGCGTAACCATTTTAAAAAATCGTTCTCCCGAAATTTGAATTTTTATTTATTCAAAAACTTGTCAGTTTCACTTTGATTTTTTCACACAAGTAGGGTAACTCTGTTCGCAAAGGGTGCGCATTTGCGAAGAGGGCGCCACAGAATTTTGAGGACACTTTTTTAATTGGCTCAAAGAGAGGAGTGGACCATCTTGTTATGTATGATCATTGGGTTTACGTAAAAAAAAGAAGCGGAACATTTCCTCGGCAGCACTAACCGCGGGAATCGGTTCCGGAATTGATTCTTCGCTCAGCACTACTGGCCATGCCGTAAGAATGTCTGGTTTCAGAATCCCAAAGGCAGTGATCTATTCTGAACTGTACTCAGGGAAGCGTAAGGTTCGCGCAAAACAAAGCGCTATAAGGACACCCTGAAAATGTCTCTGCAGGACTTCAACTTCAACATAAATCCTTTGACATGGGAAGGCCTTGATATTATTACCATTACCATTACCATTATTATTATTATTATTATTATTATTATTATTATTATTATTATCATTATTATTATTATTATTATTATTATTATTATTATTATTATTATTATTATCATCATTATTATTATTATTATTATTATTATTATTATCATCATTATTATATTATTATCATTATCATTATTATTATATTATTATTATTATTATATTATTATTATCATTATTATTATATTATTATTATCATTATTATTATTATTATTATTATTATACGACAGAGAGATTGGCGACCATCTGAGGAATCTATTATTATTATTATCATTATTATTATTATTATTATACGACAGAGAGATTGGCGACCATCTGAGGAATCTATCAATTATCTTTTCAGTTTCATAATCATGCGTATCCACCACCACCACTCACCACCCCTTATCCTTATCACCATCATCCTCATCATCCTCCTCATCATCATCACCATCATCATCATCATCAATTTCATCCTCCTCCTCCTCATCATCATCATCAATCTCATCCTCATCATCATCCTCCTCCTCATCATCATCATCAATCTCATCCTCATCGTCATCATCATCATCATCAATCTCATCCTAATCATCATCCAGAGTAGGTAGGGAGAGTCTCACTTGATTAACAGACAAAAAATATTTTTAACAAATTGTTTTTATTGAATCGGCTTGACGTTTCGCCACGTAGGCTTCCTCAGGAGCATCTGAGAGTGATACTAATCATCATCATCATCATCGTCATATATGTATGCATTGTCTGCACGCCCTTTTCGTCTATGCAGACTGTCAATTTAGCTTAAGATGGTCTCAAGGTTGCCTTCATGCAGCTTCTTTCATGGCTAATTCTTCCTATGTTTGAAGCGCAGATTCTGTCGCAGTGCTTGCATGTCAGTGCTAGCATTGTCTACAGCGTGTAATATGCGTGTTTTCCTGCCAATAAAAAATAAACGAATAAACAAGACATGGCGGAAATGTTTAGAGGGATCGGAGGGTACTCACAGCAGTGAGCTCAGCGACCATCTGGGTGGAGCTCTCGTCCTTGCGGTGTGCCGTGACCATCAGCTGTTTGTGCTCCGACAGCTCCGTGCTAGTCTGCTCCAGATGGGCCTTGAGCTGAGACACACAGATAACAGACACACAGTTAGGCACATACACACAGACAGCAGGAACACAGTTAGACACGACATACACACAGACAACAGACACACAGTTAGGCACATACACACAGACAACAGACATTCAGTTAGGCACATACACACAGACAACAGACACACAGTTAGACACATACACACAGACAACAGACACACAGTTAGACACATACACACAGACAACAGACACACAGTTAGACACATACACACAGACAATAGACGCACAGTTAGGCACATACACACAGACAACAGACACACAGTTAGACACATACATACAGACAACAGACACACAGTTAGACACATACACACAGACAACAGACACACAGTTAGGCACATAAACAGAGAGCATATAGTAGACGTAAATGTACGAGTTTTAACGTTCCCATCAACATTGTAAGGTTATTGAACCCTATCCGTACGCCCGGGGGTTATTTTTGTACCCCGGGGTGGTATTCTTCACATTTTAAAATACTTTTACTTCGAAGATCTCTTTGAAACAACACAAAAATCATTTTGACTGACTCCTATGCAAAGTGTACGGATCGGATTAACGAGTAAATTTCCTCTTCGGAAAGAGGTGGCACAAGGTTCCCCACGTCGTATGGATACGACAGTAAAACACGACGTACGGAGAGGGTTAAAAGGCCCGACCTCCATCCAAATCAAACGTCTGTCTACCGATAGAACCCAGCCAGTGCGTTGAGGGCCTTGAAAGTTCCACAAAACGACCTCAGTTCAAGAGAACACAGCCATGGTAAGATAAATAAACCGACAGCATATATGCAATCACGGTCTGGAAGTCAGCTCATAATATCGTGACAAGACAAAGTCTGTGAAGTAAATCCTAGAGGATTTTTTTTTTGGGGGGGGGGGGGGGTAGGAGATGAAGGCTGAGATCCACCCGGGAACGAGGTCTGAAGGGCATATCTCTGACTATACTATAGAACAATCCTGGCTGACAGTAGTAGTGATGGCATTGTCAGAACGATCAATAAATGAGATGTTAGTAAAAAAAAAAAAAGCAATTAAAAACAAGAAAGATGCACACAACCAACAGACACAGGAAAAAACAACCGAGTCGTGGACGCTCACGGAAATGTCAACAGCATCTGTGTTGTAGCGGTTAGGAACTTCGCCATGACAAACGGAAGACGTAAATTCAATCTCCGCGAAGGTTTTTTTCTTCTTTTAAACAGAGTATCTCTATCTGTCTGCTGGTACATTGTATCCCTTTCAGTTTGAGTCGGCCCTGACAGGCAGGGCCAAAACCGCCCGCCTTCTTTAGTTTTAGTAGAGGTTTTACGGCGCTCGCAACTGCATGAGGTCATATGAGCGCCAGAAGAATAGAGGTGTTACAAGAGAGTAACAAGCATAAAAAGAAGGGGAAATAAGGACGATAGATGTTTGGTAGGAAAGAAGAAGCAAAGCACACCAGAGCACCCGCCAACCACCCACTCCCGCCTCTCTATTAATGAACATTGTGTTGGTGTGGGCGGACATAATATTATCTCAGAGAAAGACAGGGGGGCTCTCGTGGCCTAGATGTCAAGGTGTTCGTCTCTCATTCAAAAGTCTCGGGTTCGAATCCCGGTAACGACCGAAAAACTTTCTTCCCTAAAATTTTCTCCTTTCTTCTCTTTTCCTGCTCTCTAGCAATGTTCTGTCGTCTGCTTTCGTCTCCACTTTTTGCCCCCACACCCTCACCTCCTTTGCCCCCTCCTCCTGGCTGCTGACTCTTTCTGCAGCCTTTCTGCCACACCACTGATTTTCTGGTAGAAAAGATCTACACCTAGCCTTCTCGGACAAGGGCAAAAATTCTCGGAGGTCCCGTGTGCAAGTAACGCACGTTAAAGATCCCTTGATGGTCTAAATCGACAACAATAGGCTTCTGCCCCCATCCGGGCAAAATTCAAAATTTTCTACCAACTGGAAATGTTTAATGTGTCCCGTACGCTCATATGACCGTATGCATTTGCAAGCACCGTAAAACACTTAACGAAAAAAACACAACAAAAAACAGTATTGGGGCCCTCACGAAAGTGTTATCTCAGCGTGTGTTGGAGAGTTCTTTCCCCTTTCACTAAACATTGGTTTCGTTCCAAAGCGCCGATTCTTTGCCCACGCATTCCAGCAAAGCGTTGGCACGACTTAATTTACTCACTATGTTTGACTTCTCTTCATCCATCGATCTTCGTTTTGTTGTTTTAAACTCGTTTTTTTGGATAATGATGTTGTCATTATTGTTGTTGTCCTCTTTTTCTTCCTTTTTTCCTTCTTCTTCCTCCTCCTCTTCTTCTTCTTCATTCTTCTTCTTCCTTCTTCTTCTTCCTTCTCTTCTTCTTCTTCCTTCTCTTCTTTTCTTTTTCTTCCTTCTCTTCTTCTTCTTCCTTCTCTTCTTTTCTTTTTCTTCCTTCTCTTCTTCTTCTTCCTTCTCTTCTTTTCTTTTTCTTCCTTCTCTTCTTCTTCTTCCTTCTCTTCTTCTTCTTC